CACTGGACTTGGCACGAGGCTCTGGCGCGAGACCTCGTGCGCTGGGACTTGGCACGGACGCTGCCGGGCGTCGTGCGCATGGACCGTGCACGCTGGGTGCCATGACCACGCATGTTGGGGCTTCTCGGGCTGACTCTACGCAGGGCACGAGCGACTGGGCTCGGGACCACGTGCGCATGGCGTGGACAGCGCTGTCGGGTGCTGCCGGAGGTGTTGGGTGCGTCTGGCACCGAGACCTCGGGTACTACGCGGACAGGCGCTGCTGGGGCGCTGTCGCGGACGCTGGTACCTTGCGCACGCTGGTGCGGGCACGGACTGGCACTGGGCCGGGCACTACCGTGCTATGTGCGCGGACAGTGACCAAAGTCGGCCCTAGCCGGACCTCCGGCGACTGTCTCCGGTGACATGCATGACATATGAACTTATCATGATAAAATAGTCACAAATATGCTATGAAACACTAGTGGACCCCGGGTCCACATGCATGCTACTCGTTAGGGCTTATATGGCACGTACGAGCACTTGACGTCAGAACCAACATTCATAACTTACAAAACTACTCAGGGCCGAATGTTATACATCACAAATGATGACTATAATGGCTAACACTTAGGTCATATCATGCATGCATGAGGATGGGCCTCGGGTGGCCAAAATAGCAAATTTTCATGAATGATTTGACCAAGGTAACGAACTCCATTTACATTCAAATTTTTACACCATCAATGACATGATATTTAAGGGTGATTTAGCTAATAATCTCGACTTTAACATGCTTGCTACTAAAATTTCATTTTTAAGGCTATTAATTCATTAAATTCGAAACATGCTTATAAATTCATGCATGGCTCGGTTTTACTTCATGATAAATCATATTATATAAAAATATGGCTAAATAACTCAAGAAGCACGAGCTTACCTCGGCTGGAAATAGAGAATGAAAGCTAGGGCTCAAATGGTGGCTAGGCGCGGCATTAGGGATTTGGTTGGACTTAGGATGCGTTTTGCACGGGCCTTTCTCTTCCAAAAGACTTAGAAAAATCTAAGTAACACTTAGAATATGATAAGCCTCGAGAGATTTTGCTTGTAGGTGGCTGAACCTCGCTCTCCTCTTTCCCCGGGCTGCTGTGCGCGAGGCAGTGGCAGGTAAGGGCTTCTCGACTTTTCTGACTTAGGGCTAAGTATTTGCTCGAGCTTTAGGGTGTCAAAGGTCTTCAAAGGGGCTGAGGAAGGGTCCTTAAGTAGGCTGAGGGGCGGAGCTTACAAGGCTAAGTGGTGGGAGACAAAATAAGTGGGAAATGGCACCACATGCGCATGAAACTTAGGGCCATTGTCTTGGCATTCATTTGACCTGACTTTGCACGTTTTAGTGGACATTATGGGTGGTTTTTAGAGCATAAACAACTGAGGGGGCAGGTCTGTAACGAGGGTGGGGGACAAGGGACTTCCCAAGGCATTAAAATATTCACTAGCCCACATGCACTCACATTAAAATAATGCCCACTACTTGGGATTTTGCTAATCATTTGCTTAGGGCCATATTAGCTTAAACTAATCTTTATTAAGTTTATAATACACGCATGAAGGGGTCTTTGATGAAAGTGGGCCGAAACTTTGCCATTTGGGCCCAAGAAGATGCGCTGTCGCGCTGCCAGCGCTGGGCCTGGGCGCTGGGCACTGGGCACGGCGCGGCACTGGGCCTGGGCGCGAGTGGGCTACTGGCTGGCGCGGGAAGTGGGCTGCGCGCGAAAATGGGGACTTGGGCCTAGCTCCTCACTTGTTCACGCTTCCATGGTGTCTCCCATACTTAGAAAAAATATTAGGACTAATGTGCTATGGCTAGGACAAGCCTTGGGCTCGGCTAGGCTTGGTTGGGCGCGGCTAAGGGCGCGGGGCTCGGGACAAGCACGAGCGGCTCGGGACAAGCACGAGCGGCTCGGGTATGGACTATGGCTCGGTTTTTAAAATGTCCAAGGCTTGAACTTTGGTATTCCCACACACTTAGAAATTATTCTAAGTATAAAAATACCAAGACTTGACTAGCCTCGGAAAATTTCTAGAAAATGACTCGGAACCAAACTAGGATTCGGAGTTGATAATTTCTCGAATCTAATAGCTATAACTTAGCAACCCAAATTAATGGATTAATCTTAACTTAACTTGAGATAGGATTATTCCAAAGAATAGTTTATCATATTGAGCACTTAGCATAATAAATATAACTCGGGAAATTTCTGAAAACTACGGATTTCACTTATAGTCGAGCAGTGAAACCGTTCTTAATATTATTTCTGATTTGGGGCATTACAACCTGTCCTCCTTAAAATATTTCCGTCCTCGGAAATACAAAACTAAGGTGCTAGGTCAGAACTCCTACTACTATACTATGCACAGAACATAAAATAAAAGTACATATATATATATATATACATCTGAAAATCTCATAACTCGAAATCTGGATAACAAGCTCTGATCTCGGCCTCTCTCTCCCAAGTGGCTTCTGACTCGTCGTGACGACTCCAGCAAACTTTGACGAGCTCTATATCTCTGTTCCTCAGTCGACGGACCTTTCGGTCCAGAATTGCTACCGACCGCTCATCATACGTCAGGTTCTGCCCGACCTGTAGCCCGTCAAAGTTCACTATGTGGCTCGGGTCATACACGTACTTCCTCAACATCGACACATGGAAGACGTTGTGTACACCCGAAAGCTCTGGGGGTAATGCCGGACGATATGCGGTGACACCAACTCGTTCGAGAATATCAAAGGGCCCTATGAAACGGGGCTGCAGCTTTCCCCTCTTCCCGAATCGGACAACGCCCTTCATTGGCGTGACCTTCAGGAAAACTTTGTCTCCCTGCTAAAACTCAAGCTCCCTTCTATGCTTGTTAGCGTAGGCCTTCTGTCGGCTCTGAGCCTCTCTCAATCTCTCTCGGATCTAGGCTACCTTCTGCACTGTGTCCTCGATCAGCTTGGGACTGAGAACTTGCTTCTCGCCGACCTCATCCCAATAAAGGGATGAGCGGCACTTGCGACCGTATAAAGCTTCGAACGGCGCCATCTTGATCGACGAGTGGTAACTGTTGTTATAGGAAAACTCTACAGTGGGTATCAACTGCTCCCACGAACCACCATGCTCTAGGACACAAGCTTGGAGCATGTCCTCAAGCGTTTGGATGGTCTGTTCCGACTGGCCGTCGGTCTGTGGGTGATATGCGGAGCTAAACTTCAGCTTCGTCCCCATGGACTCGTTCAAAATCTCCCAGAAATGGCCGGTAAACCTGGGATCTCGATCTGATATAATCTCGGCAGGAACGCCGTGGAGTCGAACGATTCCTTGGAGATACGTATCTGCTAGCTGCGCCATGGACATGTCCATTCTGACGGGCATAAAGTGAGCCGACTTCGTCAGCCGATCCACTACAACCCATAAAGCGTCGTGGTGCTTGGACGACATAGGTAATCCCGTGACAAAATCCATGGTAAGCTTCTCCCACTTCCACTGCGGGATCTCTAAAGGCTGCAAGAGACCCGATGGAACCT